CTCATGCTTAATTTATTAAACGAAAGAGAACTAAAAATAATAACATACTATAATCTCTCCAATCCTCTTATAGTCAATAGAGGACTCAATCAAGATGAAACACTATCTTCTCTACTTTGAACTATTTTCTACAATCCTATGGTCACAAGGATAACCACAGAATATTCAACATCCTCCAAAATCCTTGCATACATGGATAATGTTACTCTCACCAGCTCAAATATGAAACATTTATAAGGTACAATTAATATCTTCTGTTCTTTTCTGTTTATCAATTTGATCAAATGCAACAAAAAGAAAACAAAATTAATTACCAATCTTAAAACAAAAAACCAAAAGAGAGATCGGTTTCTTGTCATCGAGGAGAAAAATCCAACCTAGCCCATATGAAGAAGGCGTTAGATACTTAGGCATATATCTTTCAGAAAAATTTTCATCTACTATCACAAAAAGCAAGCTCTCAGAAAAAATCTACAAATTCACCAATGCTATCGCCTCACAAAAAGGCTGGAATGGTTTGATAACAAGGCAAGCCTCTTACTGGATCATACTAGCACAACTTGAATATGCTATCAATGCAGCAGTCCCATCAGATAGTGGGATAACTACTCTTCAGAGAAAAATGAATAAACCAATCAAAGCAAAACTCAGAGTCAAGCAACCATCTCCAACAAAATCTTACACTCACATGCCAGTCTCAACATAGTCAATCTTCAAAATTGCCATGACTTAGCTACCATAAAAATTCTTACCATCAAACTCACCAATAGTAAAATCCTCCCACTTACCTTGAAAGAAATTACATCAATACAGGCTGCACAGGCTATCTGGTGTTGCCCAATTTGCTTCCCCTACTACTTTGCAGAATCATGAATTATTTCTGCCACCATATTAGCAAGAATATACAAGATCCAAGTTTGCCCATTTCCATGCCCCTTCAACTTAAACAATCATGAACACTCAATAGGACTAATCAACAGACTTGAGAAATCTGCGACTCTCTCCCTATTTTATACCAACATCAAAACCATTCACAACACTTACGTTCATAAGCACAATACTAAATTAGCATGGGAAGAATTGCACACACACAGAGGCTACATAACTACTGGTCCAACTCCTAACTGGTTTTCTTTTATCCCAAACACTTCTCAAACAATCGAAGGCGATTCTACCTTTCTCTCTAAAAGATATAATATTAAATTTTGGGCCTTTCTACTTAATAACTTCATCAACCTTCTCAAAGTCCAAATAAATACCATCCTATCAACAACCATCAGGAGTTGGCACCACCTGCTGGTTAACAAGAAAATAATTCCATGCTTATGCCCATTGCAACCATACATCAAAGAAATGAACATCATCAACGTTAAGTCCATCTGGCATACCACACATGCAAACTCAGATGTCATGCTCAATAATACCCAAGAACTTCTGAACTCTTTCTTAGCCATACCACAAACAAACTTACAAATAATTATTGCACTTCCACTACCGATTAACCAACCTATCGATATAGTACTTCAATACAGAAAAACCGAAACACCCTCCTAGCCTCCAAATCCACTAACACCTTGTCCTACACACTACATTGTAACTTCTGGAGCATTTTTTGGCCAGTATTCTTTCAAACTATCATCAACTCTTCACCTTCATCAACACTTAAAATCCACATTAACAAAATCTCTGAGTTGAGAACCCCAGATTATTCAAATAGACTAGTTAAAATTTCTTACAGTAGATTTATTACTAAAGTAACACTCACATAACAGCAAAAGTATTACTATCATATGGCTCAAACTAAAAGGACACCAAACACCAACCACCACCTCCAATCTCTTCTATAGTCAACTCACCAATTCCTCAATGTTTCCATCTACATTCACAATATCATCTCTAATTAATAACATACATGTTACAAGTATCACCCATTGGATAAAATTCACAAACTACTACACCAATTTATTCAATATGCTTCTTAGTAACTCAGCCATCTACAAACCCACATTATTGGAAAATTTGGAAATTACCATCAAAGCGAATAACAAACTCAATGTTCCTGACCAAACCAAATACAGAGCACTGTCAACATTTAAAACAAAGCTCTTTGCAAACCAGCTCCCAACTAGAATCAAACTTTACAATTGCTATCCAAGCCTTTATCTCAATAATTTATGCCCAAGATGTGATACCTTTCTTGAGGACTTGCTACACATTTTCTCTTATATTCACAACAAATCTCTAATTGACAAAAAGAAAACTAAACTTGAAAATCTCATTCTAGATTTAAATCCTAAAAGTATTAAAGTTACTGATTTTGTGGACACATTCAAATTAACAGATAACAATCTGTTAAACCTAGCTATCGGCAAATTTAATTCTTCATTCAATCTCCTTCAAAAAAAAGAAGTTATCTTTAATTATACTCTTAAAATTTTATACAAAGCCTGGAAACTGCGATCTGCTACTGCAACCACATCACTGTCATCAGGCATAAAATGAAAAAAACTTTATTTACAAAGTTATCAATCTCAGATCCAAATGACAACACAACATTCAACGCAATTTTAGACCTATTGATACTTCACACAATTTCACTGACAAGTCAATCTTTACTCCAACAGTTATATCATCGTTCTGAACAGGCATTAGCTATTCAGCACTATTGTTGCGAGCCCACTTCTGCAGTGGTACCTGGTTCCAATAGTTTTGTTATGATAGGCTATGATAATTTACTATATAAAAAGATTGTTAATGTGATGACAGTAAATATTTTTATTTAAATAAAGTTTCGCATTTAATGCTTGTTCGCGATAAAAAAAAAAATAATAAATAAATATAATTAAATAAATATGAAATATTCTAGAGCAACAATAGTACAAAAAGTACAGTGCTAAAAAAATAATAAGAACAGTAATATAAGAATTATTCTAGAAAGTACAATATTTCAAGGGTAAATGCTAGATAAAATTGGGCAAGGATTATTAAAGATCTTGGTCAAAAATCAAGTGTGATAGTATTTTGGTAGATTTTGATTTTAGTAATTATATTGATAATTGTAGGGATATTGTTGGGTGCTTAAAGTAGTTGATTGACTAAGAGTTCTGTTTTTTTATAGAGAGTTTTGTATTGTTTGTTGTTATGTATTTGTTGATGTTTTTCTTGAATTTCTTGATCAAAAGAAAATAAACATATATTTAATTGAGATGATTAAGTAAGTGTGGTAATAGGTTTGTAGAGTTGGTCAAGGTTAAAGACATTTTTGAAATTTATGAATTGTGATCAGTCTGTAGGTTTAATTTAATTGATATTCATAAAGTTTGAAATAGCAATAGAATTATTGAAAGAGCTGATTATTTGTTGAGTATAAGATGTGCATGGTTGTATAAGATTGGTAAAGAGAGAATTCAAATCAGAGAGTTTTATTGGTTCATTAGCTGTTTTACTAATTTCTATGAGGATTTTAGATTGGATTAGATCTGAAGTGATAGATAAGGGGTTTGCATGTGCATACATTGTAGCTATTTGATCAATATTTTTTTTTTGGAAAAAAGAAAAAATAATAGATGAAAAATTTTTTTAGGGTAAGCTGATTAGGGTTTTTTGTTGTTCCTTGAAAGAGAGAAAGAAATTCTTGTAAACAGTTGTAAAGTTCTGGGTTAAGTTAAATTTTTTTTATTTTTTTCACAATGTTACTGATATATTTGAAGTTAAGTGAAATGTTTCTTTGATTAGATAGTATAATATGAGTTTGGAAAAGTTTTTTTGCATCTTTTTTTTTAATTATTTCTGTTGTAAAATTAATGATGCAAACATCATTGATGGAGCCTGTTTTGACAATTTCTTTTAGAAAGGTTGGTGATAAAGGGTTCTTGCAGGTTATATTCAGATGATTTTGTTATTATTGATGTCAAGATAGTAGATTTGGAAGAATTGGTTCCAGTCCTGATAAATAGTGGCATGTAAAAATTGCTTTTTGTTATTGTTTGTTGGTAAGTACTTCATGTTTAGAAGTTAGTTATTAGTTGAGAACACTTAAAAGTACTAGAGAAGAGAAAAGGTTTCTTGAAAGTTTGTTACCAAATAAGGAAATTTTCAGGTGAAAAATTGATTGACGGGAAGAGTTTTTTTGAAAAAGTTTTATTATATACAGTATATAATATAACAGATAGTGATAAATAATTTGTTATATAATATTTAGCACATGAGATTTTTTTCAATTGATCAGAGTTATATTTACAATCCTGATACAAATATACAGTAATTGTACTACATTTCTTTATTTATTATAGTACATTGTATGGAAAATAATAATAGGATTAACAATATTATACATCAATTATACATTAGAAATCTATTGATTTTGGAGAAATGCATAATGCAACATTGATAATAGGTATGTGTCATTATAATATAAATTGAAGCAGATTAAAAGAACATAAGAGATAATAACTGTATGTTGCTATAATCCACAAAAAACCCATTTGTCTTTTTACTCAAAAATTAATAAAATATAACTAAAGAGAAACCAACATCCTGTGAAGAATCAAGTAAGAAAAAAAAAAAGAAAACAATGGCATGAATTAAATACAGCTCTAGTTTTAGAAGAAAGAATCATGAATTAACGGCCATTAGTCAAGTCATAGAACTTCTCAAGAAACAAAAAGCTTATCTCCATCACTATTGTTAAGCAAGTGATGGTCTTGGGTTAGTGACAACTTACCAGAAACAATAATTACAATATATAATAACACAAGTATAAGATTATTTTTAAAAATTTTAAAACTTATATTTGTAAGAAAGATATTACATATTTATTGCAAACAAGAAAGATTAGTTATAAATAAAATACTGTAAATAAGTATAAATATTAAGAATATTAGACAAAATTTATTTGAAATAAGAAATAAATGTCAACTTGTGAATTAGCATTACATAAAGAAATTATAAAATTCATTTTTTAATCTCATGCAAAGAATTGATTCTATCCTCTTCCATACAGCGCCTTGAACAATCTTCAAAATTATTGTCACCACTAGATCGTAAAGCTTCAGAATGGCTGCAATCTATCAGATCATTCTTTCCAAAGATATTTTGAATTTGGTTTTCTGCAATTACTATAGAGAGTGAAAATCTTAATTTTGCTGGGAATTTAATAACACGGGAATGAAAATAATTAATTAATCCCGAAACAAAATTCTTATCATATTCTAAAGTTAATTCTGTCTTTATTTCAAAATTTTTCACGGGATTTTTTGTAGAATGCTTCGCGTATTTAAAGTGAGCCTTGTGCTCTCGCACATTAGAATAATCTGGAATCTTCTTTTCCTAAGTTTAGACGGTAATCTTAAATCATCTAACGTGACTGTATTTTTTAATACATTTACATACCTTATTTTCCATTTCATGTTCCCATAATATCTTTGTAGGTCCTCTATCGGAGTTAGTAATGGAAACAGAATAAACATTTTCACTTATTGTTTTTTCTTGATTTAAATTTAAAGTAGCCGCAGGTATAATGCCAGTAGCTCCCGTTAATGAACTAATTTTCGTTGTCTTAGATCGACCCTGATTAACATTCATCTCACTACACGGAGAGCAATCACGAATGGATGTAATTAAAATGGATAAGTTATTTTTAGGATCCTCTGGATGAGCTTCTAATTTGACTTCAGCTTTAATAGGATAATAGCCTTCGCCTTTGAGGCCTTTGATCTTTTTAGATAGCATTTTACCACCTGAAAGTTTTATGTCTGAGATTTCGAACGCTAACTCATCATCATTTCCTGGATGCCACATTTTTAATACAAAGTGTATACTAGCTTCTTGGCATTGATCGCTAATCATAATCTTGGCGAAGGCATTGGCGTCAATAGCTCCATATGGAATTACAGTATTTAAGTCATTTGGATCGTCCCCACCATCCCCGCCGTCTTTTTCCTGTCCGTTATTTTTATTTGACCCACTATCCTTTTCATTCTCTTTATTATTACTTTTCTGGTTTTTGTTGGGATCATTGTTTTTCTGGTTTCCATTAAGATCATTACTACCATTGTTTTCCCCTTTGCTTCCATTAAGTTCATTTTCACTACTGTCATTTTCTCCTTTATTTCCATCCAAAACGCTTTCTTCAGTATATTCATCCTTTTCTGTCTCGAAATTATCATCATCATTATTATTTTTTTTGCCCTTACTAATTTCATGAATATTGCTTATCACACGTGCTGAATCGTTATCCGGTTTACAAAGAGCATCATTGTCGAATAATTGACAAATAACAATATCTTCTGGTGGTCGTTGTATTACTTCAAAAAAATTTTTAATAGTTTGTTCGGTGAGTTCAACAGGTAACATATTGCCATAAACAATGATGGAAGGCTCCCGATATGATTTTACAAAGGTAATCCCTATTCCAATTGCACTGGGTGGAAGGATTTTAAAAATTTCTTCTTCATGTAACTGCATTATTTCTAATAATTCAACATCAGATTGTCTGTTTCCTTCTACTTTACAATAAACATCCAAACTCGGTATTCCTACTTTCTGCTGATCGTTTATCTTAATATCACATGTAATTCTTAAATATTTGTCGATAGAGTCTTGCTCTACAGGATAAGAATAATTTTTGGCAGCAAGAGATAATATCTCACACTCTAGTACATCTTTGTCTATTATTGAAACAGGGATTTTATCATCTTGTTTGGCTTGGTTATGGCTTAGTATGGTTTTATTTAAATATTTGGGAAAAGTAGCATTTTCGCAAATAGATTTATTTAATACTTCTTTTATCGAATCGCTTATTGCGGTTCCATAAAGACCAAGCCTGATCAAGGTAGTATTCTTGCATAAGGCCTCAGACAGTGCTTTTCCTGCCGATTCTCCTATAATGTTATATGATATATTTAATTCCATCAGGGTGGTATTCTTGCATAGAGCCTCAGCTAGTGCTTTTCCTGTCAATTCTCCTAAATAATTATTCTGCAAATCCAAATTGGTCAGGGTGGTATTCCTGCATAGAGCCTCAGCCAGTGCTTCTCCTGCCGATTCCCCTAAAGAGTTATTTCGCAAATCCAAATTAGTCAGAGTGGCATTCTTGCATAGAGCCTCAGCCAGTGTTTTTCCTGCCGATTCTCTTATATTGTTAAATGCTATATTTAATTCCGTAAGGGTGGTATTCTTGCATAGAGCCTTAGCCAGTGCTTTTCCTGCCAATTCTCCTAAAAAGTTATTTTTCAAATCCAAATTGGTCAGGGTGGTATTCTTGCATAGAACCTCAGCCAGTGCTTTTCCTGCTGATTCTCCTAAAGAGCTATTTCGCAAATCCAAATTAGTCAGGGTGATATTCTTGCATAAAGCCTCAGCCAGTGCTTTTCCTGCCGATTCTCCTAAAGGGTTATTTCGAAAATTCAAATTAGTCAGAGTGGTATTCTTGCATAGAGCCTCAGCCAGTGCTTTTCCTGCCGATTCTCCAATATTGTTAGATGCTATATTTAATTCCATCAGGGTGGTATTCTTGCATAGAGCCTCAGCCAGCGCTTTTTCTGCCGATTCTCCTAAAGGATTATTTCGCAAATCCAAATTAGTCAGAGTGGCATTCTTGCATAAAGCCTCAGCCAGTGCTTTTCCTGCCGATTCTCTTATATCGTTAAATGCTATATTTAATTCCGTCAGGGTGGTATTCTTGCATAGAGCCTCAGCCAGCGCTATTCCGGCTGATTCTTTTAAATAGTTATTTTTCAAATACAAGTTAGTCAGGGTGGTATTCTTGCATAGAGCCTTAGCCAGTTCTTTTCCTGCCGATTCTCCTAAATAGTTATTTTTCAAATCCAAATTGGTCAGTGTGGTATTCTTGCATAGAGCCTTAGCCAATACTGTTCCTGTCGATTCTCCTAAATAGTTATTTTTCAAATCCAAATTAGTCAGGGTGGTATTCTTGCATAGAGCCTCAGCCAGTACTTTTCCTGCCGATTCTCCTATATTATTAGATGCTATATTTAATTTCGTCAGGGTGTTATTCTTGCATAAAGCTTCAGCCAGTGCTTTTCCTGCCGATTCTCCTACATTATTAGATGCTATATTTAATTCCTTCAGAATGGTATTCTTGCATAAAGCCTCAGCCAGTGCCTTTCCTGCCGATTCCCCTATATTATTAGATGCTATATTTAATTCCATCAAGGTAATATTCATGCATAATGCCTCAGCCAGTGCTTTTCCTGTCGATTCTCCTATATTATTAGATGCTAAATTTAATTTTGTCAGGGTGGTATTCCTGCACAAAGCCTCAGCCAGTGCTTTTCCTGCCGATTCTCCTAAAGGGTTATTTCGCAAATTCAAATTAGTCAGGGTGGTATTCTTGCATAGAGCCTCCGCCAGTGCATTTCCTGCCGATTCTCCTATATTGTTAGATGCTATATCTAATTCCGTCAAGGTGATATTCTTGCATAAAGTCTCGGCCAATGTTTTTCCCGCCGAATTATCTATAAATTTGCATTTAAGATTCCATATCGACGCGTTCCTCCGATCCTCTAGCGTGTGTTGAGGGTCATTAAGAATAACTTCCAAAAGTTCCAATGCCTTTACATATTCTTTTTCTTTAAAGTAAGACTGAACTTTATGTCTTAGGTCCTTAAGAGTACCTAATATTATCAATTTTAATTAATAATCTCATTAATCACATATTTTCATTATATAGGAATTAATAATGTCATGGAAAGTTATAAAAAATCTATATTCACTAATATATAATATACCATTTTTATTTTCTAATCTATTTTCACTTAAGTTTTTGGAATAAACATTAACAATTTGAGGGTGCTGTAAACTTTCGTCTATATAGTTTAATATCATTTCAAAATATTAATTTACAGTAATAACTGAATGATAGAATTTTAAATTTACCTATAAATTCGATGGGAGTTTTATTTGTGTCCTTTTCTAAATAGAAAGAGAATCCGAGTTAATTAAAATATTAAATTCTGAATTTATCAATTATAAAATAATGACCTGCATTGCTACGCGTTTTGTTGGAACTGCAATTAATCGAAGCATCGAAATCTTCAAACAAATTAGAACTATCATCTGTAAAAAATTCTTCTATATTGGCATTTATTTGATATACTGGTCTTAATTCAATCTTTTCGAGATCGTCTAGAATAGCTTCAATTGTAGGGCGTTTATTTGGTTCACCCTGCCAAGCTCTAGAATAAATATATACGTAATCTAACGGAGTACCATCAATTGGCGTTTCTCTTTTTCCTTTAATAATATTTATTAGATTAATTTGACTATTTGGAACTTTCCCACTAGATATCTCCCAGAAAAGTTGACCTAAACTGTATATGTCTGAAGGCTTGTCTCGCTCATAAGTCTCATCGTTTAAGAAATATGGGTCACAATATTTTAACGGTGCGCATCCAGAAATAGAGGTTAAGTTTTCCTCAGATTTGGATAACCCAAAGTCTGAGATCATCAATTTATCATCGTGTATTAAGACATTTTTAGAATGCTGAAGCAATACACTTCAATCAGTATAGCTTAAATATATCAAAATTTGCAGTATAATAGCTACTTACTAGATCTCGATGAATAATATCTGCTGCATGTATACAGTATAGCCCACTCGCAATGTCTTTGGCCATTTCAAATTTTCTTGACCATTTGAGTTCATTAAAACAGCCATGTTTATGTAGGTTATAAAAATAATCACGGAGATTTCCTCTATTGGCATATTGAAGTACTAAGAAGTATGTGTCTGTCTTTGGATCTAGTAACGTATAATATCATAAAGTTAAACCTTTAGAATTTTTTTGTTTTTTCAATATGTTTATTTCTGATGTATTTACCCTGAGAAATTCCCAGAAACTTTATGACGTTATCGCTATAATCAACAGCACTGTTATTTCGTAACTGTTAATTAATAAGAATAAATAAAAAATTATCGAACTACATTAGAAAAGTTAATATATGTATATTTTATGAATATAGTTACCTCGTTCACAAATGATTTATAAAAATACGGATTCTTATTAATGTTATCGTGCCTGCTTTTTAATACTACTGTATTTTTATTAAAGTATGCCTTTTTCACCTTAGAAAATCCTCCCATTGCAATAAATTGAAATTGACCAAACAAGCTAAAATCAAACGACCTAATGTATCTATTTTTAATTGAGTTAATAAGCCATTCTTTTTCCTCATTATCATTTGAAGAATACATTGTATATTTCTAATACTGTTTTAAAATATTGACTTGCACGTAAATTTTGACGTTGCGTTTAAATAAATATTACTGTAATACAGAGTGGCACAAGATTACGCCATTTTAAGATCATGTGATGTTTCTATAATTTATATACGAAGCACAGAGTAATTCTAGCATTTAATATTGAAGTTTATGTTACTGGTACCGTATGTGTAAGTGTAAGATTTTTATGTTATATGATGCAGATTCTAAGGTGTTGCATAGAGGTTGGATCCGCCTATCTGTTCAGATAAACAGATAATTTTTATAGCCGTGTAATTTATCTGTATCAATTTAGCGGATATCAGATAATCAGATAAAAATGGTTGTCAAAAAGTACGAAAAGTAGAAACTTTTTTTTCAAAAAATTGATTCAGCAAATCGCATAAGTATATTTTCATTTATTTTATCTAAAATACATTT